AGCAGTGTGGCTGTGTTCAGTCTGCGTTGGCCACGCTGGGTTGCAGGCTTTTGGAGATTTGACAGCATTCAGATGTCTGCAGCAAGTGCTAGTAAAATTTTAAGTTTAAAAAAAAGAAGACCAGGAGGAAAAGCAAACCTTTTTCTCTGTACAAGTAAGTGGTTTGAAGGCCGTGGGTTTTCCTCCTGGGCTGACTTTGCAGGTCTCTGTGTGGTGAGGCTATCCAGAGGTTACATGAAGATGGATGAGTGAAAAGAGGATCCTGTTTTGGGGAAGTATGTGTCTCTTGGCCTTGGCTGGCCCTCCTGACAGACATCCAGCACCTGCAGAAGCCCTGAATTGGAAAGAGGAGCAAAGGCGTGCAGCTCCCGGGAGACGTATGGGCTGTGCAGGTCTGCCGGTGAGGCACATCCATGCAGGCTGGCTTTAGCCAACGCTTTGCAGAGGACGGAACAGGACACGTGGAGACATTTGCAGGCACGGTCAGGGAGGAGACATCAAAGGAGCTGACTTAAAGTCTGGAAAAGGAGGATGAAGGAGTAGGTTAGCGGCCTTCCGAGGAATGCAAGGCTCTTGGAGGATGACTTCCACACAGCCACAGCCCAAGGGAAAGATCTTGCAGCCTTGGCAAATGATGTTAATAGCTGCAAAGGTGACTGTTTTTTCTCCCTTGCTATCAGGGTAGGAAATCACCAGGACAGGCTGTGAATCCCCTCACCAAGGATTTCAGGGCACGGATCGCACCCACTGGGGGCTCAGCTGGGCCGTGCTGGTGCAGAGCTGTGCTGGGTTTCTCCAGCTCTTCTCCAGCCATCGGTCCTGCGATGCATCTCTGCTGTCCGACCGACTCCGTGCGAGAAGTCGGTTCCGTTCCCCAAGATGCTGCGTGGTGGTAGTGGCATGTCCAAGCTGCTCGGAGGGGATCAGACACTTTCACTTTTACTTCTCATTTAGACACTTTCACTTTCGCCGCTTCACATCCTGCACAGAGACTGTCAGGGGCCTTCTGCTCCTGCAAGTGAAACCTGGATGTGTCGGGGTTTTGCATGTATTTGTGTGAGTGCAGACTCTTCCTTAGGGTGGGAACAGATCTGAAGGAGCCCCCTAAATCTGAAAGGGGAGATAAGGGTCACAGCAAGCTGCTGGGCTCAGTGCCACGCTCTGTGATTGTTTCATCTCATGTATTTATGTATTACTACGGCAACTTCCCCCCCCCCTTTTGGACTTTCATTTTTACACTGCAGCTGAACTTGCAGAGAGGAACAAGTGTTTGAGTTATCACCTGCAAAATTGCTGGGTTTGTTGCATTTCCAAGAGCTTCCTAGGCTTTTTTTAAACCTTTAGCTTTTACCCCTGACAGATACTGAATATCTGATGCTTTTGCTGATTTAACACCTCATACCCTCAGTATGTGTTCTGCACCCAGTAGGATTTTTAATTCTGTAATCTCTCTTTGTCAACTTGGTGTCTCACATAGTCGGCATGGAAACACGCAACTGGCTCCCAGCTCACACATTTAGACATGGCCTTTCTCATGCTCCAAGACCCCGAACTTGTCGATGATGCAGAGTTGCAAGATGCTATCGGTAGCAGGAGCAGAATATTGCACCCTGAAGAGTGAGATGGTTTGGAGCAGTAGCTGTGAAATTAAATAGCACCCGCTGCAGTCCTGTGCTTTTGGGATGTGAGGAGCAGTCGAGGGAGCTGGGCTTGTTTAGGCTGGTGGAGAAGATGCTGAGGACAGGGCTGCCTCTCCTTGGAGGATGGCTCCGGACACAAGTGTTGTGGTGCTCCACCAAGAAGCAGAAAGGGATGTTATGTTTGGTCCAAGCCTTTGAGCAGAGCTGTGAGCTGGGACCTAATTCCTTGATCTGATTTACATGGAGGAGTCTGAGCTCCCTGACTGCTTCCTTGAGATCCACAGGATGCAAGGGACACAGACAAAGCAAAAAGACAAGTGAGGAAAAAAATGAGCAAATTTAATATTCCTTCCTATCCTCATTAGGCTCAAAGAGAGAAAACAATAATACTGAGAGAGAGCTGGAAGACCTCTTTATTTTTCATTTTTCTGTGCTTGAGAGCCAAGTTGCGTTCACCTGCTTTTTGACTACTAATAATTACCGAGGCATCACCTGAAAGTGGGAGATTTAGAAACTGAGTACAAGAGGGCACAAAAGACTCCAGAGCAAGGTTAAGAGACACAAAAGTACTTCTAAAGACTTTCCTTTCTGTGCTCCCAATTTCCATTCTCACCATACACGCTTTTCTTAGAACCATTTTTAGACCTCCCCACTTTTTGCCTTGTCTGGATTCATCTTTTGCTTGGCACAGAGCAGATGCTGTCTCCCTTCCCTTGTCAAGCACCGTAGCGTGGACTGGCTGAACTGGCTTAGAGCAGTGTAGCTAAATGAGTTTAATACGTGCAATTTGAACTGTTATTATTCCTGTTCCTTCTATTGGGTCCTTTTTTGACCTTGAGTAATTTGAGAGGAGTAACAAGATTTGTGACACAGGGAATTATTCTGTCTTCTTTGTAATTGAGGGGAGGAAAAGAAAAAAATTATTAAAACTTACCCTTTAAAAATAGGAGTCAAAACCCCAGGTAGGTTGCAGGGTGACAACAGATGCTATCTTGCTCATCACCAAAGGAACGTGGGACTTTCTGCTTTAGAGGTTAAAACAAGAACTTATCAATTCTCAAGAATTTCGGTGAGGTTTTTCTTAGCGACCAGCATGCAAAACCTGTTCTTCAGGTGGAGTTTGGCAGTTCTACATTTCTTTCCTTATAGATGACTGCTTTATTTTCTAAAGTTTATGTGTCAGAAGAAATAAACTTTTTCAATGTGTCTATGTTGCAAACTCAGCTTGGGATTTGAAATCTCGTAGCTCAGGAATCACCACCAGTAATAAAGGTTATTAAATGTGCAACGGAGACGGAGCCCAGGATTTCCTGCGTTTCTAAGTGTCTGCTTTACTTAATATTTGGATTTTAACAGCTACAAGAGCACAAATACTGCAGGGCCTTCGTTTCTTTCTGCATCCGCATTTAATTCGTCAACTGCTTTGGGACCTCTTCTTGGTGGGATGCTGTTGGGAAGTGTTTTACTGGGATGTTTTATTTTGGAAATGTCTGGAGGGAGTTTGGGCTTTGAGAAAGCTCTGCCCGTTGAGGCTTTGAAGGAAGTCTTACTCTCATGGCATTGAAAAGTACATTCACTCAAGACCTAAAGATCTTTATAGTAAAACAGATAATCCTGAGAAACTGAGCAGCCACCGAGATTTTCCTACGTGTAGACATCAACTCTCACACCCTAAAAGAGCACGCATCACTAAAAAGTAACTTTTTAGCACAAGAGAAAACTCTGACCCGCTCAGTGTAAAGTTAATTTACCACCCAGCTTTGCTTCTGTTGGTGCTATTGGTTTCTTTTTTTTTTTTTTTCTTTTCTGCTGCAAAGGAAAAAACTTTAAGCGCTCGCTGGCAAAGAGGGAGCTCGTATTCCTCCTGCCGAAGGGCAATTTAACTTGCAGACAAAGTGAGAGCCACAGAGCCGATCTGCTCCGTGGAGATCTGGGCTTGTTAAATGAGGTCCATGTGTGGTGAGTCACACTCAAGTGCCACCTGCCTCTGCTGAGGCCCTGTACTGGTCTGGGGATGCCCAGAGTTAATATTTGCACCTGCTTTTTGCTTTCTTCCCCCAGGTTTTCATCCGGAGTCGGAAGAGTCGAGTTCCCTTTTGCAGACAGCGGTTTCGGTGCTGCAGAGCTCCTACTTGGACTCTACATCTCAGGACGGTTTTCAGTACAGCCAAGCAATTCTGGTGGAAAATGATGTTTTTCTAAGTGAGGTAAGGGAACGGGTGGCTAGATGTCTGTAAATGCTGGTGTACGGGCAGGTCTGTCTTTCCTTTGCAGCACGTGGCTGATCTGCCTGCCTCATAGAGCCCCATTTGCAGTTCCTGACTGAAGGAAGCCTTTTCTTTGCTTTCTTGCACTTCTTCCTTCCCAATCGGATCAGGAACAAAAGGTCCATTCAGCCAATGTTGCCAAACATTTAACAGCAGTTCCTGGAGCAGGCCTTTGGGACAGGCTGAAAGCCTGGTTTGATTCGTAGCAGGAGAGCTTTAATGTTACTGCACTTCTGCTGATTCAGAGCAAGGCAGACTTCCATGGGGTATTTCTTTTGGCTGCCCTCACACCAGTGCAGGCACCAGTTTTAAACCCTTTCTCCAGCTGACTGGGGCGTCTGTGGAAGCACTTTTAAAATGCCTTCATCCCTTCACTCCCGCTATCATTGGCGTGGAAGGCAGGCTGTCTTCTCTGGGGACTGGAGATGACCAGTCTGCTTGTTGTCATGAATAGAGCTTAGACAGTTTGGCTGCCTAAATCTGGGATATTCACTGTGGAGCTGGATAAAAAACTGGGAAAGCAGGTATCAAGTCATTTGTTGATTTGCCTGTGAGTTCTAAAGCCAAAATAAGCAAAAGCAGTGATGAGATGATTGTTTTCTTATCTTCTAACCCTGTTTAAGAAAATCCCATCCTTCTATAACTTCTTTTATTAAAGCCCCGGAGCATCGTGGACTCAGACCCAGCTCAGTTTGCTCCCATGATGTTCTCCCTGTCTGCACTGAGAACATACTCTGCTTGAATTATCAGACAAAAGAAATTGGAGTAACATGTTATGTGGCTGTAGCCAAACTCTCTGAGCTGTAGTTGCATGATGACACCTGCCTTCTAGTCAAATAGTCTAGGCTTCCCTGGTCAGTGGAGAGAGAAAAAGGAAGGTGCCTCTAAGCATCTCTCCCATAGGCATCTTCCCTGTGGCTGAGATGATTTGTCTCCTGATGGCTGAGGCTGGCCACTAAATGTGATGCTCCACCAGCCCACATGCTGCTCAGTGAAACAAGCTCCCCAGTAGCTGACGATGTATGGGAAGAGGGGCAGGGTGGAATAAAGCTGGACTTCCCTGGGATGAGCACAGTGTGACGCTGCGGGGCTGAATGTGCCTACTGTCCCTTGCAGGATGTTGTGTGTGTTTTGCTGGGGACAAAGGCAGAGACAGACGGGTGCATGGATTGGGGGTCTTGTGGTGGGAGACTGGGTGTACAAGTGCCTGGGGGAGGGAGTGATGTGTGTGTACGTGAGCTGGTCCAGGATCACCTGGCTGCTGCCAGCTGCCCCATACTGACCACGACTGGAGGTGCTTGGGACACGTTGTCCTCACACCATGAAGACATGTCACTTGACTCTGGCATGAACGGACTAGAACAAAATGTTGTTGTGTCTTCTGCAGCTCAAAGCTTTTGCCCAAGCAAAGGAAGCCGCTGGGTACAGCCAGGAGGAGCTGGAGGAGACCTTTGCATTTCTCCTGTTTGATAATGAAGAAGAGGTAACCTGAAATGTTTATTCAGCTTAAGAAGTTTGATACCAAGTGCCTGCACATGTGCTCTGTACCGCCAAAGCCCAGCAGATCTGTTGACTGAAGTGTCCTGGCTCTCTGTACCCTGGTTATCAGTGCAATTACTACTGTATAAATAGTCCAGAGCAAGTTCTGAAAGCAGTTCTTGGGACGTTTTAGCGATGACTCTAATTTTGCATCTCTCCAGTCAATTACTGTTTGAGATTTGGCTGCCTCCTTTGCCCTCTGCAGGGAGACAGAAGGAATCCGCCTTTGTCCGAGTGGATCTATGGTCAAGTACAGGCGGGTGAAACCTTTCATGTATGCTCAAAAGAAAAAAGTGCCTTTGTGACAGAAGACAGGAGTTTGTCAGGTGGTTTGGGGCGAGTTCCCTTGTTTTTGCCAGCTAGGTGGAGAGAGAGCCTGACACAGCTGTTGGGAAAGTTATTCTTGCCCATTTTTCACAAGGATGCTTTTGATTCTGTAAAAAGAGTTTGTCTACACAAGGATGCTCAGGGAATCTAGTGGGAATTCACTTTTAACATGATTTAATGATGCCATGCTAAGTCACGGTAGAGATGGGTTTGCTCAGGATGAGAGTGGCCCGAGTGCAGTTTAGTTCTGTTCAGTTTGGATTGAGCTACAGCAAAATAAACCACTTTCAGTCTCAGGTTGGGTGTGGGAATTGTCCCGCTTCATTTTGGCTGTTTGAAATTTAGCACAGTCTGTGCCAAGTGCCTGAGCTCCTTATACAGAGCCTAGGAAAGAGGGAACTTTCCAGAGGATAATTGGACCTCATTTAATGCAGGCATCTAAAATCCTTGGGCTGAATTGCTCTCTGGAGGTGCCGCTCTCCGTTGTTCGTTTAGAGGAGAAGCCTAGTTGGCTAGTCTAAGCCAGACACTTGCCTTTTAGGAGGCAGAAGTTAGGTGTGATGAGTGCCCCATGTTGCTTATAAAGGGTCAGACTACAGTTTGACTGGTTTGCTTTTGTTTCTCACCCATAATGAGTTCAAACTGGTCCTGTTGTCACTCTTGGGTCAATATATATTTGGACTTTGCACACTTTGATGAATCTGCTTTGGACGTGGATTAAATCGAAGCCAGTGAGATGCTCCCAAGGTAGTAATTGTGCCTATGGGGGAGAGAGCACAGAGTAGCAAATGTCCTTTGCCTTCATGCCAGCCCAGTTGCATTTATTTTTCCACCAACTGCCCATGCACATAAAGAAAGTGCAAAGTCCAGGCTTGGGCTTGCAGTGGCTTCTAAAGATGCTGGAGTTTTTCCAGATTTTTCTAACTGTTTGCTTCCACGTAGGTGTTTGTAACAACACTTGATAAATACAAGTATTTAGTATCTGAAACAACAAATTTTCTTTTTGTTCGTTCTTCCTGTGGATGTTGTGTTTAGTTTTCTTTATACCAGAGGTATTTGGGGACTGTAAGGATCTGTAATTGACTTGCAGCACATGTTTGCCGGTTGCAAGTATTTTGCTGACTGTTGTGCTACAGATTTCAGTAGCTGTGTCCCTTATGTTTGAAAATAGATGGTAAAAGAGGCTGTCTCTTCTTTTGAAGGCAAAAGAGGTGTGTCAGACAGGCCTCCGAGTAAACAGCAGTTCTATTTCCACCCTTGGTGACCCAGCAAAAGGTAAGACTTCCATTCAGAGGACCAAGAGACCTGTTCACTGTTCTGGGGATATTGACTCCTTTAAAAACAAAAGGAGAAGCCCAGACAGACTCCTGGTACTGCGTTGTTATTTACTGCAAAGATCCATGGAAACTCCCGTATTTTTTACATGGGAAACTGCATTTGTTTGGATCAAACAAGCAACAGTGTTTTCCTTCTGCCCCTTCAAACAGGTGAGGTTGGGATCTTCCCCAGGGAATGCTACTGTCTGTTCACCTCTCCATTTCAGGCTTTTTCTCCCTTGTCACCAAAGTGGCTTTTTGGCAGCTCTCCCCACTGGTTTGCTGAGCTTTTGCCGACAGTCCTGTTAATAACCACAGCAGATCGTGACATGTCAAAGCCCTTTTCAGTATGTGCTTGTTCCTTGACCAAAGGTCTGGGGCGTCAAGATGTGCGGTGCAGGACGCGTTACTCAAAGAAATCTTGCCAGAAGCAGAACGTCTCCCAGTGCTCATCCCACAAGTCTTTGCAAGTCAAGACACCTAATTGTTGAACAGTCAATGGCAGTGAATACAAAACCAAGCAAGAACTGGTGGTTTATCTGGGTGTATGTCTTAGTCCTGATGGACTGAGATTAATATTATGGTGTGTCTCTTTGTAGCCCTTCCCTTGTCCGTTCCCTTTTTCTCCCCCATGTACTCCTCTACCTGTCTTGTCTACAAATACAAAGCAGGAGTGAAGAGCCAACCCTTCCCCCCATCCCCAATAAATCCACGTATGCTGTGCCCTGAGCATAGAGAAGAGGTGGGAATAAGCCATGTCAGAATAGGCCCTGTCACAGCATAGAAGGTTCACGTTGGCATCTGGGACAGTGAAGGGCCATAAAGAGCCAAGGAAGGGGCCTGGGAGGGTCTGTGCCATGCCACAGGCCTGCTCTCATGCCCTTGCAGTGTGTGTTTTCCCACGTATAAACATCCACGTTGCCTTTGCATGACGCCAAATTGAGCAAAGTACCTGCCCCACTTGCAGTCTGACCTGGAAGCCCTTCACCAGATCTTCCTGTAAGAGACAAGCTCTCACTTGGTGTGTTGTCATGTAGTGTGGGCAAAACTGATTTTAGCTGGGCTACTTCTCCCAGGGTAGACCCAAGTTAACTCCTTTCCTAGAGCTGACCCTGAAACATATGATGCTGTTCCATACCGGCAGTCAAAAAAAGGAAAAGAGTCAGAGAGACTTTCACCCTTTTTATGGCAGCAAGTGCTACTCTGGTTTGCAACACTGGCTTTGCAGAGACTCCTTTTTCTGTAAGGATGGTCCTCTTTACAGGTGTTTTTTTTGGCAATCAACTTTACTCGACAAATGATTCGCGTTAAGTTGCATTGCTTTGTTTTCACAGGAGTTTATATTTCCAAGTATGCAGACTGTCTTCATCCAAGACCCTGGTATCATGGAAAATCAGGCTATATTGTCATTTGTAAGCTAATTAAGGTAAAATGCAAGTCTTTCTTTTTATGTGAAATGGTTTTCAGAAGCCACTATACAGCGCAAGCAGTTTTTAAGGAGACATTGGTGCCCATAACGGTGGTGGGGTGTAAAATCAGCTCTGTTGAGAGCTTGTCGGGATTTTTGACTATGGGATGTGTCAAGCTAGAAAGCAAGAGATCCAGCTGGGCTTGACTGGTGGCCTGCAGGGCAGCAGAGGAGGCAGAGGACCTTCCAGATTCCCCCGCTAAGATCAGAAATTCCCCATAGGGTCACTTTTTTCCCTGGACTCTCATGCATTTTGGGGGCTCGAGGGGGGAACCCTGAGGTGGCTCACATCACAGCCCCGTTCTATTCTTCCATGGGGCTGACGTTGTGGCCCTTTTGTCCCCTCCCCACTGGGAAAGCACGCTGCTCCTGTTTGCTGTCTTGAGCAGTTCAGCTTTGTCTGCCATGTCAAACTCAGCTGAGTCAGCCCTCGTGTTTGGGAGGACACAGACACACACAACCCCCTCACAACGGTGGGGGGTGTGGGCCTGCCAGCAACACTGTCCTTGGGGGAAAAGAAGGAGGTCTTTTAAAATAAGTTTCTGCGAACATTATGTGTATTGGTGGTGCGTATTATTATGTGAACATGATGTGTATTTTTTTTTTTTTGGTAAATTTTCTGGCACAGGGGAAGGTCAAGGTGGTATCTGAGAATTACACAACCAGCTATACCCACCCATCTCCTGGCTATGACTGCCACGTCGCCATGAGCAGAAACAACATACCATCAAAGACCAGCCACTGCCAGGCCTTCGAGCAGAGCCAGGTATCGGTTTGCAACAGGACTGTGCAGACAGCTCACTTGCGGGCTGCAGGGGAAGACAGCGTTGGCCCAGGTGCCTTGCTCACCTTGTTTTTTCATCTGTTTCCCTCCTCACTCCAGTATTACGTCTATGAAGTGTCCGATGGCAGTGCTGCCGAGCGGCCCAGGCAGATCTGCCCGTACATAGTCATCGCCTGCCAGTACAGGGAGCTGAAGGAAATGCCCATCTTAGCTATAGAGAGCCTGTAAGCAGCTTGCTGTCGTCCCAAAATACCCAGTCGCTTTTGTTGGCTGTTTTTCCTTTTCCCATTGCTAAATGTTCCTTTTTTTTTCTCCCTTTTCTCTAGACCTGAGCTTAATCACAAAGGTAGGAGCATCCGGTGGTTGTTTTTGTTTTATAAATGTACCTTTCTCTGTTTGCCCTCCTCTCCTCTCCTGCTTTCTCTGAGCTGTTCTCCCTTTTGCCTGTAGCATTGTACTGTCCATGGAGGGGGCAGCTCTCCATCCGGGGCCAGCTTTTGTGCAACATCGCCCTGAGGACCCCGTACAGCTCCACGATTCCAGCCCAGCTGTAAGTTGCCCCTTTCTCTTCTTTCTGTGCAATTTGTGGAGTGTGAAGCATTAGACCTTTGGGTGTCTGTGTACCAGCAAAAGCCAGTTTTGTCTTTCCTGCCCCGTCCCTTCATTGATCAGCATCTTCTTACAGCTGTACCGCCTAACCACCTGCACTGTCGGGGCAATCATCAGTGTCAGGAAGGTGGCAGCCAGCGGTGCAGTGTCACAGCAACAGCTGGATGAGGACAGGAGATCAGGCCCTGAACTGCAGCTGGCAACAGCTGTATTTTGTCATCTCTTTTTGTTAACTGCTTTGGGATGTGTATTCCAAATCAATTATCCCTGCCTGGGGTTTTTCTCCTTGTCAGAAGTGAGCTTCCTGATGGTGCATGTATGATCAGCCAGTTGTGTTCACAGATAAGCACCATGGCAATAAAGTATTGAGGTAACTAGCATTCAAAAAAAGATAACTAAAATCTTCAGTAGTCAGAAGCCATCCAGCAGGCAGCAGTTTGAAACAGCCAGTAACACAGCCGCCAATATCAGGTGGTGTAAAGTGTTTACAAACAGGAGGTGTTTACAAACAGAATCCTCAAATCAGCAGGGCGCTAAGCAAGCTGCACCTTCTCCAGCCTTCTCCAGAGCTGCTTTCTCTGGTTTCACAGTGACAGGGCAACGAGGACTTTTTCCTGTGTTTAATCCTGAGAGCCTTTTGTGCTTGCGATCTCACTGTCGGCTGCTTTATCCCCACAGGCCTCCCAACCTGGACATTAACCATGTCATGGGTTTGTCCGACTTGAAGAAAAAGCTACCAGAAGCTGCATTTGGAAAAAGAAATTACATTGAGAATGAAGGTGAGTGCAAAACCCACTGGTGTGATGAGTAACATATGCTTGTGCTGTGCCATAGGAACTGCCGCAGGAGTCAGAGCTCAGGTCCACGTAGCGCTGGGTCCTATCTTGAAGGATGGCTGCTTGAAGATAAACGAGGAAAACTGCCAAAGCAGCATTAGGGCTGTTTTCCTCTCCACACTTCATATGGTCTCCAGGTGTGATATAATCCTCTTCCCAAAGCAGCCCTTTAATCAACCCATTCAGGGGACAGGACAGGGTTTTGAGACCGGGGCTCCCATCCTGCACGGTGCCAAACATGGTGCAGCTGAGAGCAAATGCAGGGAGACGCTTTCCCCTTCTTATATGATCTCCTTACAAGGTGAAGGCCACTCCACCTCTTGGGGGCTGACTCAGTGTCTTCTGCATCTGGGTGGACAAGGGTGGCTGCCAGGCAAAGCCAAAAGATGTGGTTGCCTGCAGTAGCTTTGGGTCACGGGTAACCTACTTGTCACTTCAAGGGAGTGACAGTGAATGGCAGCATGAGAGGGGAGAGGACTCCAGAAACCTTGGGGAGAGGCAGGGAATGCTCAGCAATCAGCAAATAAAAACACAGATTTGGGGAAGGGAGAGAAGGGCTCTGTTTTCCCCTTAGTGGTGCTAAGAGAACCCACTTGCCTATCATCAGCCACTCTCTGTGCTGGTCAGTGCAGGCTGGGGAGGAGAGGACCTGTGTCTAATTACGCTTTGAGGTTCATACTGCTGATTGATTTTTGGGTTGGAGTTTTGACGAGCCTGGCAGCTCTCAACCCCAAGGTGTTGAGCTCCCAGTGGCTGTGAGTGGCTGTGCATCGCAGCAGACAGGCAGTTACTAGCATGGATACCGCAGGTTGCACATGGAGATCTCTGGATATGATTTGCAGAAGCTCCGGGTGTGTTTCCATGTGATCTTACACCAAAATAAGTGTGGACTGCTGCAGTGTTGCCTCCCATCTGTGTATCAGCTGTGCTGAGCCAGGCTGGGGCACTGATTAGCCAGGCTGCTTTGGGGGATAGCGTTCAACTTACAGAGCAGATGGACACAGGATAGTGCCAGGGCAGGGGAGGAGGCAGGAGAAATAGGGGGAGGCCACAGCAACACTTGATGAAGGTGCCGTGGAGCCACAGTCTTAAGATCGTCTGGTGAAAGAGAAGAAATACTTGAACAGGAGAATTTTGCTGTGAAATTCAGAGGGGTAACATGGGTCCAAGATCTTGCCTTTATTAAACTCCTTTGGGGATTAGTGTATGGAATAAGGATGCCCCATAGCAGGGGAGAATATGGCATGTTAGAGTGACGTATTTCCCTGTGAAAGGCTCCCTGTCTCTGTTGAAGCACACAGCACTGGTTAAATTGCTTTTGTTAGTTGCAGAGATAAGGGACGAAACATCTCCTGTGAACCATGGGTTGAAGAGAAAATTCGCTGTCATATGAATGTATATACCAGCTTAGGAAATCTTGACAAATTTCTTTTAAAATCCAGTGCTTCCACCAAATGCACACCCATCTTTCTGGTACAGGAGCACTTGTTTGTTCAGAGTTCATGCAAGATGCGCTATTTCAACATCAAATTCTCTCTCTTTTGTCTGCAGTCTGCTTTCAGGGTGTTTACTTCAGTCTATATGAAGTAGAAATATCAAATAAGGATCAACATAAAATGGATCATTTAGTAGAAAATCTAAAGGAAAAGGACTTGGTAAGTATTTTAAAACTTTGTCTTTTCTCCCAGAAAGTAGCCTTTTAAATGATCTCTTGAAACTTTTGGTAACTTTGTTCACAGATTCTGAACTAATGCAAAATGTAATTAATTTCCCTGCTTTAAGTATTGTTTTCTTGCTTTGTTATTCTCAAACATAGTTTAGTCTTTCTGTCTATAAACTGTTAACTGAAGATTACCCACTATGAGCTGGGAACTGATTTCTAGTGCGAGCATGCCGTGCTGAGCAGAAGGCATGCAGGCAAACCAGGCAAACCTCTTTGGCTATGTTTATGCCAGATGAGATTATTTAATTATCTTTATTAATGATTTTCCCCCTTGCATTGCAAACAGCATGGTGGACAAGGACTGCAAGGGGATCTTATATATTAAGAAAGCAGATGTGAAGTCCCCCAATGCCAAAATGATAACTACTAAGCAAAAGACAAGGTGTCACGTGCCTGCCTTTCTCCTTCGTGGTTGAAAAATAACCCCCACTCAGCTAGATACTCACAGTAACACTGCCGAAACCTCATGGACTTCTTCCAGGAGCTCTGAAGATGTTGAGATTTATTCATTTAATGGGGAATTTCCCTTTTGATATATTATCTGATAAGGCTTTTTTCAAGCACACTGGGATCTTTTTGTTCCGAATGTGATTGTCACATCTCCTTGTGACTCCAAGCGATAAACCTCACCCCTGTGGAGCACAGCACCTGCATCTCTGCTGGGATTTGTGGTTGGGTTGGTTTTGGCTTTGCTGCTGCGGGTTGCTCTGTCACATCTGATGCTTCCTGTAGATTCAGGGTTTAAATTCACGGCCACAAACTCATGGCTGGCTGGGCACATCCTCCCTTCACTGCAAGTTGGCAGCGGCCCATGAACTGCCTGGAAGTGCTGTCGCTGTGTGGCACTGCTGAAGAGCTGCCCACCAACGTGCAGCTTCCCACATGTAATGTACCAGAGCAAGTGTTTGTTGTGGATCTCTGTAAGAAAAGCACTCGGACTCCCTAAAGTATTGATTAAACTATCTTTTATAGGTAACAACATGAGAAGGAAGAAAGGGGATAGCAAAGACAATCTTCATGTCCCGTCACGTGCAGGTAACTCTGAACTGTGCAGCGTCCGTTGGATCGCTGGTTGGGGCACAGATCTGTCCATGCTGCAGCACATCTTCACGTTCACGGCATCTGAAGGGACATAAACTTATTTATGCTATCCCTTTTTTTTTCTTCTCCTGTTCTCACCAATAAAAGATATTTTAATCAATACTTTACAGTAGAGTACAAGTGCCATTCTTACTGGGATCCATGACAACCACTTGTTCTGGTGCATTACACCCTGTTTGCAGCCACTGAGGGTTATAACGTGCATCCTGCCAAGCCCAGCGGAGCTGGGCTCGCTAGAGGGGTCGGCAAAGATGCGATGGTTGAGTCGTGGCCACGAGCAGGTTGGTATTGAAAGCCGTCAGGAGCATCTTTTCCTTAGAGCTTCCCCACCCTCATATATCTATCAAACTGGATTAATATATCTCCCTTATTTCAGCGAGGAAACAGTCACAGCCCCTTTTGGGTGTGCTTCTTCCCTCTCCTTAGCGCGCTGTTGAATGGTTCATAGGTGAATCCGCTTTGGCAGCAGCTCCCAAAAGTGCGAATGAAAAGTGCCCTCCGTCTCCTTTCCCTTTCAGTGGTGCACGGACCAGGCACACTGCCTTGTGCAGGGCCCAAATGAAAATGAGAGGGTGGCTGGGGCTAGGTGGGGTTGCCTGAAGCCAGCTCTACTCCTCTGGGTGCCGATTGATGTGTCTCAGCCCTGTGTCAGGTGGCTGCTGCCTTATGGCTTGACTTTCCTCCTCACCTGCCTGAAAATCATCCTGTCGGTGAGAAACCACAGCTATTTCATTGAGCTGGATTTATGTAGTAGAGATGCTGGCTCTTATCCCTTCTGCTCTGCTTACTTGAGACAACCAAAGTAAGGAGCTGCTGCTCTGAATAGGCAATATTACACTGAAATTGGTCAGCATTTCCAAAGTTGTTCTGTTGTCCTGGAGAAATGAAGCCGTGGGCATTAGTCCAATCCTCTGTTATGTCTGAAAATATTGAATGGGATGAGTGAAGTTTCACAGAGCATTAGAAGCCCTAGGGTTATTCAGTTCCTGTAAGTTTCTGGAAAAGATGTGTGTGCATGGAAGAAAGAGATCCAAACGGGTGTCCCCACGGGAGGGGAAGGCAGTTCAAGCCAAGTTCTGTGATGAGGCATCAAGCAACACACAGACACCATAAAAGCCTCGATAAGTGCATGTATCTTTTTAGACATGCTGTCACCCAGCTCTGAGACAGAGTTGCAGGCGTCTCTTAAGACTCAGCAGATCTTTTTTCGCATATTCATTGATACTGATGCTGCTAAGAAGCAAGCTGCATGGCCTGAACTTCAGTCAGGCTCGTTGCTGGAACAGTTGGTTGTGTTTTGTCAGATGTTGGTGTCCAGGTTTGCTTTCCCTGCTGGGAAAACCTTCCCCTTGGGTTGCAGAAAGCAATTGCTGGCTGAGATGCCCCAGAGCTTTTGGACTGAAGGGACTAAAATTGTTAACCTTCTTCATTAATTACGGCTAGTTTGGCTAAGCATATTTATTTTTTTAAGGAACGTGGGAGGAATTTGAGAGCTGAATAACAACATAAATGGAACGCTTCTGGTTACAGATCCCAGTTGACCCAAGTAGCATGAAACGAACAGTGTCCTCCTCAACAAGGAATGAGCTGGTGGTGTTGGCACATTTTCACCCACAATCGGGGCTTGTTGACAGTCACGCTGAGTGATATAAAATGTGCTAAGGAGGAAAGGGAGTGGTTGCTCTAACTTTGTGTGTGTTTATTATAGGCAATCATCAAATATTTACAAGATCAAGGAGTCCTTATCCTCCTCACGTCCTCGGCCTTGGCACGAGATGATGGTAAGACATGACTACATAGAAACCAGTATCTGTGCTTAAACATCCTGCTCTGATTTAGAGACAGAGGGTGGGGACCTTCAGTCTAAATAAAACCTGTTGCTTGCTTTCATAGGATTTGACCCCAAGGAGCCCGTCAGCCTCCTGGCCCTGTTTCTGTTCACCTCATCTCGGTCGGTGTGCCTGAGAGGTAGGGAGGTTCCCTTTAACTGGCTTCAAACACTGTTTTGGGTGTGTGATCCTCACCAGAGGGTCCTTGCAGAAGTGTTCCTCTTGAGGAGCTGATTTCTCTGCTCAGAACCACCTACAGCTTTAGCGCAAGGGGTGTTAAAAAGAGGAGAGAGAAGTCCCAACTCTCTAGCTGTGCTGCATTTTCAGCTGACCTAAACCAGGTTCTCTGCGTTGCCCACCTTACCCGTTCACTGCACATCCTTGCCCCTTTGCAGGCAGTTGATGAGAGTGGCAAATAATTACTTTTCTCCCTCTCAGTCAGTTTTCAGCAGTCTCCCTGAACTGTTTCGTGTGCGCGCATGGGAGTCTCACTCCTGTAGAGCTTGGCTTACATCCTTAAAGGTGTGTTGGAGCCGTGCTCAGGGGAGCAAAACGACACATGGCACTTAGTGGACCCTGCACGGAGCTGATGTGATTTGCTAAACCATCGGGAAAAAAGCCTGCCCTAAAAAAGAAGTGAATTGTTTTCTGCTGAGGTAACAAGTGAAGTGGACTCCGTGAAAGGTCGCTGCTGGCCTGGGGAGGGAGAAGAGAGGTGCGGAAGGGGCATTGCTCCCTGAAGAGCAGCGAGGGTTTGGAGGCTGAGCCGTATTGTGTGACTTCTCTGCTGTGGGATCCTAGCGGAGCCGTGAGGACCGGTCAGGGTGTGTGATGGGGGAGGGAGGGAGGCAGGGAGATGGTGTTGGGCAGAGCCGCCACGCTTTGCTGCCATCAACGTGAGTCACAGCTCTGGGACCTGGGAGGTGAATCCAGGCTGTTTGCGGCCCCAAAACCTGCTTCTTTTCATGCAGAACAAACACAGAGGCACTAAATAAGGGAGAACAAAGATTGCACAGTTTGAACCTGCAGATCTTGACATAAGAATAAGCTTCAATCTCTGTTGCATTTGCCTCAAATTTTCTCTGTATCCGTTGGCTTTTTGCTGCACTGTCTGTGGAAGTATTCACACTACAGTTTCCTCTTGCGGACATAAAGAAAGTTACTGCTCTGCCTCCCCTGGACAGCTTCATCCGCACGCTTCTCGCTGCATCCACTCCACCAGGAATACTTTTAGCCTTGCAGATCCCCGAGCAACATATAAACAGGGCCCTTTTACTCTGCGTAACTTATGGCTTGCTTTTTGTTGAGTCATCCCAGGGACGAGCCAAGATACTGTTTAGGCCAGCACACACTGGTATTTCAGTCCGCCTCTGTGTGAGTGATGGCTGGCATTGCCGACAGAGCTGCAGGGGACATACACGTCTCCCCGGAAGATAAAAGCAGCAGAATAGCCGACAGGACCCACTAGCACATCTGAGCATGGATTGCTTGGTCTTTTTTGGTGTTTAACATCCAGCTATAAACTTTCTCCTCCAGGATCTGCATACGAAGTGGGCTTGTAAGTCAGGTGAAGACACGATGGTGACTTGGCAGTGCAGGGTGCAGATGTCTTTGATGCCTGAATTCAGTGAACCTAACTTTAAGGATATGCTGCTGGTGGCTGTGTTAGCGTGGCAACTTTTCTAGTTTCTTTTCTAGGTGTAGGAAAGAGACAGGCTCCTTCTGAGGCAGACTGAAGATCCAAAGTGCCAGGTCAAACCTGGGAACAAGTTATTGCTGTGACACCTGAAGCAAGGGCCTGAAGTTGGGTGAGGTGAAGGGGAAGAATGCCTGGAGAGCAGACTGGAGGTGGGAACTGACCACACAGATATTGAGGTCTTGCTGACCACCTCTGCCACAGGCAGAAAATATCTTCCAGAGCAGAGGGATCTATTCCTGAAAGGCTGACTGTGAGCCACGTATGCTGGGGGAGAGGAGAACAGGGCAAGGAGGTATTTATCTGGAAGAGGGTTATTGTGGAAGAAGGTGGTGGAGCCAGGAGAGGGCACCAGGCGTAAGGAGCATCCCAGAGCGAAGATGGTACAAGCAGCCAGTTGGTAGGAAGGTTTGGGACCGTAGCAGACGTTGCCTGTGGCTGGTGTTGATGCTAAAGAGGAGGTGAAGCTTGGGCAGCCAGAGAGCAGCTGGTAGCAAAGCGAAGAGGCAGAGGGAGAGGGTGACTTTGAATAAATGCTCTGTGTTGTTATGTGTCGTGATCTGAACGTTGATGGCTTCCAGATGTTTTCCCTGTGGTGCCAGCAGGACTCCTGCACGTGCTGTCCCATTCTGCCTACGCGAGCAGCGTTACCCCAACCAGCCCTGACTGTCCCTTGGGTCTGAGACTTCTTCTCACTGGGATTATAAACCCTTTTTCCTTTAGGACTTCTCCTTTCTGTGAAGATAAGCAGAGCTGTGCAGGGGTTTGGGGTTGAAAAGGTACGGTCACCAAAGACGGCAGGGGAGATGCAAAGAGGAAAGAAGGGTGAAGGACAGACACGTTTGAAGTCACTCAGCTCAGACTCGAAGCATGAATAATGTTTCCCGTTTCGAAACAAGCAGCCTCTGAATCTGTTCCCTTCCTGTCCAGACAGCCGTGGGGAGGAATGTAGGGCAGGCGTAACAAGCCTGCTGTGGAGACGTGCCGTGGCGTTCCCGAGCCAGCAGCGGAGGCAGGCAGCTGGGAGCTGGCTCGCAGAGATGCCTGGGCTTGCCGGTAATAAGGACCAGCATTGCCAGTGCAAGGCAGGGCCAATAGGCGAAGAAAATCACACATCTGGGAGGGAAGAGAAACGCCTTTGCCTTGCTGGGAAGAGATGTGACGAGGAAGGGCACTGGCATTGTCAGCTTGGCCCTGCAGCCAAAAGAAACCTCAGAATCGGATCATAACACGCAGATGGGCCAAGCTTGTGGGTGCAAAGCGCCGACATCAGACTGCTGGGTTGCAGTGGATGAAGCCGGATAACTCTGGCTTGTGCAGAAAGGGAGCTCCACCGATAAGCTCTGCATATCACACCAGCTCTCCGGGCATTTCTGGACACCGAGAGGACACTGCTGTGCCAAGCAGAGCCTGCTTCCACGGTGACATCTGTGAGGGCAGGCGCCTACGAGGCTTGGGGCTCGTTTGTGTTGATCCCTATTGGGAGGTAAACTTTTATGATACTGTGCAC